TGCCATCCCTCTCCAGCCTTCCACAAACTTCGGGCAGGGACACCACTCCGACCCCCTGGCGTATACCACTCGATGGACCCAACCTCCATCACTTTATCTCACTTCTCTTTAAACTCTGTTCTAGTTGTAGCCTTCACAGCCTCCTGCAGCAAGGAGTTCCACAGGTTGACTCTTTGCTTTGTGAAGAACAACTTTCTGTTACTAGTTTGAAGCCTGCTACCCATTCCTTTCCTTTGGTGTCTTCTAGTCCTTCTTTATGGGAACTAATGAAGAACGTTTCTGTATGCACCCTCTCCACCCCACTCATGCTTTTAGAGACCTCTATCCTGTCCCCCCTCCGTCTCCTCTTTTCTAAGCTGAAAAGTCCCAGTCTCTTTAGCCTCTCTTCATATGGGACCTGTTCCCAACCCCTGATCATTTTAGTTGCCCTCCCCTCTCCCAGCCTCTCTCTTCCCCTCTCCCATCTCCTTTTCCCAGACTCCCCAAGTTTTGTTCAATAAAGACAGATTCCATTTTGGAAGAAACGTTATCTTTATTTTGTACTTCAAGAAAAGGGGCTAGGGAAGGGTAAGTGGAAGGAGATGAGGGAGGAATGGGGCACGAGCCCCCGATGGGGAGGACTGGGCTGGCTCTGCGGGCTTCTGGGGGTGGAAGCTCTCCTGCAGCCCCCCAATTGCCCGCTCTCTCCAGATGGCAGCCTGCGGCGAGTGCAGCCGGTCTGATGGCTGAGTGCTGTGATGTGCCTAGTGTGGGCACTCAGGGCACTCCAAGCCAGGACTGCTTTGCAAGAGGGGCACCCTTGAGAACTGTCTGTCCAGGGTGGGGGTCGGGACCCTTTAAGCACAGCCCTCGGCTAGCCTGAGAAAGCATCTCCACGCTCTAAGTCCTCCTCTGATGCCCTGCCGGCACTGCTTCCGGCCATCCTTAACCTCGCTTCAGGGTCCACTTAATGTGGACGCGCTAGTTCGAATTAGCAAAACGCTAATTCGAACTAGTTTTTAGTTCTAGCTGCGTTAGTTCAAATTAGCTTAGTTCAAATTAACTAATTCGAACTAAGATAGTTCGAATTAGCGCTGTAGTGTAGACATACCCTAGGAACGTTATTTCAAAATAAGGGCTGTTATTTCGAAATAGCTTTGCTGTGTAGACATACCCTCTCCCTCTTCTGTGGCTACTGACAGAAGAGAGAATTGGTGGATGGAAAACTCATTTCCTGCTCCCATCTTGTAGGCCTGGAGGGGTTTTACATGGTAAGGGTTCTTGCCCCTACATCTGCACCCTTTCAGCCAAGAGAGATGCTAGAAATCTCTCATAAAGCATCTTGCTGCTTTGAAGTCTGCTGCACTGCTTAACTCCATGCAGCTGTGGAAAACTTTTCCAATCAAGGAAGTTGCTTTGACCTCAGAGCAGTGCTTGGGCTCAAAAAGGACCTTTTAAAGCATCCTTTTGTCTCTGTTATGACTCAGGGCTCTGTATAGGAAATGTCTGCCTTTCCCCTATGTTTATATCAAGCCTGAAGAAGGGAGGCTGTTTTGGCACCAAACAACCTAAACTGCAGGCGACTAAGCTGCTTAAGAGAGTCTGTGTTAACTGGGCACTGTCACACTGCTACCTATTAGCTAGGTATTTGGATACTTTCACATTTGATTATAGATTCATTTGATTGAGGGACTGGGATGCTGACTCATCATTAAAAGAGAAGGAGACTTCAAGGGAATAAAGTGTGGAAGAGCTTGATTGGATGATCCAGCATCATTCTGACATCCAGAATAAATCTGTGTCACAAAGTCCTAAGCCTCCCATGCATATTAAATCTTTTACTCTTTACTCTCAAGCTTCCTTTCCATGCTTTCTTTGAAGGAATCCTTTCCCACAGAAAAGAGGACAATACTCTGATTGAGGAACCATAAGCAGTTGGAATTGATTGCCTGCCACATTCCTATATGATCAAATTAGTCTTACTGAGGATCTACCATCTTTCTTACACATTCAGGTAGACAGGCAATTGTATTTGTGTGGTATAAAGCTTTCTGTACGCTTGCATTAATCTTCAGGGTGGTTTGGCTAACATTTGCAGACAGGAATCCCTGTCGACACTGGTAACAGAAATTACGATACAATTGTGTTAGCAATAACCATACTAAAATTTTGATTGTAAGTTGTGCCTGCACTAGACTTTTTTCTAGTTGTACATCATCAAGCCCTGGTCTACACTTGGAGTTATTTCAAAATAACCCACTTTAAAAAAAAAAATAATTAGTGGAGCATCCACACTACCAAGACTGTTATTTTGAAATAATGGGCTGATTATTTTTGAAATCTGTACTCCTGCTTTCTTTGGGGAATATGCTTATTTCAAAATAGTTATTTCAGGAGTTGGATAAGTTATTTCAAAATAATTTCCTAGTGTAGACATGTCCCCAAGTGAGCGAGGAGCAGTGGGAGTGTTAGCATTAATGAAGACCAGTATTTTAATCATAATCTTGTTTAACACAGCTCACAGCAAATCTAAATGACTTGGTAGTTAAACTCCAGTGGCTGCCAGGACCATGTCAAACTCCGAGCTCCCACTGGTGGACCATATGAGTAATAGCAAAAGTGAAAATTTTCAAGAACAAAAATCTAATGTGCAGACAAAAGCCATTGTGTAAAGGTCCTTTGATGCTCCTTGGAAGAATATTGTTTTTAATTGTTATAGTTAGATCAGGTGCCTAGCACTTCAAAACCTTCATATACTCAGTGCTGTGTGTGCAGGAAATTAATTTATTTTTTCAAGTAGATTTTGCATGCATTTCCCTGCTTTGCTTTCCAAACAGAAGATACACTGATGCACTTATTAATGATATCCTAATCTTCAAGAGCAAATAGAAAAGGAAGATGTAAAGAAAAAAATCAACATTTGTAATGTCTTTATAGCAGGCCTGGAAAAGTTCAAGAGTAAAGAGCAGAGAAGAATAATTGGTGGAGAGACCCACTAAAAATATAATGGAATTACTAACAAAAATGTCTATAGTAAACAAGGTTAGAGGCCCAAAATTTGAGAAAATATATGGAGATGTCAGTGAGGACAGAGAAAACAGGAATAAGACTGCATTCCATGCAAGAACTGCTTATGGAGCAAAATATGTGAGCTAGGATTTCTCATTTGCAGCCTACACACTGACACAGCATCTCTCTTTTTTGTTCTCACAGTCTGTTAAGAGACAACAACACTTGCATGGTAGCTAAACATTAATGTCTTTGTTTTAGATGAGGTGCTGTATGCTGACATGGAAGACAAGTATCCTTTTAAATATTTTTTCATAATTCATAACTCAGGAGACTCCAGCTGTGCATCAGTTTCTACATATATTACAGAAGTTTAGTATTTTCCAAATTTATAAAAAATAGTGGAATATGGGTGAAAACTGAGGCTTAAATCTCAGTAAGAGCATGTGAAGGTTTATTTTTAGAAAGCTACATATCAAGCAATATTATTCCCTACTAGAATGCTAAAGCCAGCAAAACAAAACAAAAATCACAAAATAGAGGAAAGAATGGCTGAATGTGAGGGTGCATTTTCTTATGAAATTTGTTTTCTAGAAATCCATTTTTAAAAACAAGTTCAGACAAGTTAGTGCTCCATAAACTATGAAGTGGTTTGGTCTTACCTGCCCATGTTTTATATACAGTGGTATATTCTTTTCCCCCTGATTTGCTTTAGTTTTTTGAAGAATCATTAACTTTCATTTTTAAAATATTAGTGTTGATATCATCTTAAATGAAAAGCATTTTATTTAAAAAATTGCAGTAAATTTATCAAGACTACCACCTCTAAAGAAAACAAGTGTGGTGCATGGGAGGACATTTCAACCACACACATTTGCAGTTGCTCAGTTGGTGATGTTTGATTCAGAGATTTGTTTCCTACCTTACAATGTCTGGGATTTATATTAAGTTTGTGAAAATGCAGTAGTTGGGGGACATTGAAGAGATCAGAAGAGGCTTCTGAAATTGATGGGTATTGAATGGTCATTTGTGGCTTTGCTTGATGCTAAGTGTTTTTACTTTTGTGTTGTTATGGTTTTGTGTATACAATTCCTTTTGGTTTAGCATGGTCTGATGGTTCTTGGGTCACTCAGGACTGAGTCACTTTGCTACTCCTTTACTTCCAGCAAAAGGAAGTCTTTTTGTGGTAGTTAGGTGTCAGCTCCCTGACACTGCTAGCCCTTCGCTACTCAAACACACAGTTCTGGGCTTATGCCAGCCCTTCCTTTACCTTGCAAGTTAACAATAGGCACACCCCAATTCTCAAATCCCTTTGAATCATGTCTCTGTGAAATCCGGCTATTCACAGAAGGGAGGCAGGCATGGCTACAGTTGGCCTGGGGCTCTTCCAGGCAGGGAGGAGGCCCTGCAAGCAGCCCAGGAGTTTCCTCTGGCTAGGGCAAGGGGGGACTCAGAGGTCATGGCTCTGGCCAAGGGTGGGAGAGTCTCATGGTGCCAGTCAAGGGGGAACGGTGCAGGTGGAAAGAGAGTAGCGGGGCTAGCCTCCCTCAAATGGAGGTTCCAACCTCAACTCATGTACCCATTCCTGCAGCATGCCCCACAGGTTTAACAGGGCCTGGTGGGGATTTTAATCACCCTGGCCCCTGGGCAATTGCCCCCTTCCTCCCTGCTCCCATTGGTTCGCCTATCTTGGGTATTCCAGCCCTGGTGTCTCCACAGAATTGGTGCCTATGCCTTAAACTACTTCTCCTGTAAGCCACACAGCACTTGTAAGCATTTATAATAAAGCAAACAAAAAATGTAAGGCATAATAAATATTAAACTAGGAACGAGAGAGTACAGGTAGTCCCCGAGTTACGCGAGATATAGTGGAACTGGAAAAAAATTCACAGAAGTGCAGCAAAGATGATCAAGATTATGGAATTACTTCCATATAAGGAGAGACAAAAGGTAAGAGCTGTTCAATTTAGAAAAGAGGCAATTAAAGGGAAATATAAGAGAGGATACAATCGTAAGTGGTGAGGAAAAAATGAACACAGAAGTGTTACTAACAATACAAGTGTTGCAAGTGTTACTGCAATACAAGAACTAGGAGACATCCAATTAAATTAACAGTCAATAGGCTTAATACAAACAAGAGGAAGTATTTTTTCACACAAAACAAATTAACCTATGGAATTTATTCCATAAAATATTGCGTTGGCCAAAAATGTAACTGGGTTACCAAAAAAAAAAAAAAAAAAAAAAAAGTCCATGGAGGATAGCTCCATGAATTGCTGTTATCCAGAATAATCAGGAATGTATCTTTAGGCTTGAGGCTACGCTAAACCTCTGACTGCCGGAAGACAGGAGGGGAATACAGAGATGGATTGCTCCCTGTTCTACTGTTTGCCCTGTACTGAATACTCCCCCTGAAGCTCTGGTTAAAGACAGGATATTGGGCTGGATGGGCAATTGGTCTGACCCAGAATGACTGTTCTTATGATCTTACCTGCTGGAGACTGATGTCTACTCTAAGTTTATAAAGTATGCTTTCAATATAAATACATTATTCCTTAAATATTATCCTTATATACATCTCACAATGGTTCTGTCTTGACAAGTTAGAATTTTTCTGTAGATGCCTTACATGTTACTCTTTATGAATAAGTTTCCTGTAAGACAAGTTTGCCAGGTCTAAAGTGAGAGTTGTTTGACATATGGGTGATTGAGCTGGAGAGGCTACAAAATATTGAAATCCAGCTTCATGTCAACTAAGTACTCAAGCAAAGTACAATTTCTCTGCCACACTAGTCACCTTCTTGTACAATGAGAGGGACTGGGATCAGATTACATAACAGCTTAAAGGTGCACTTGTTAAGAAATTTCAGTGGGTTAGTTGTGTTAGTCTGTAACTTTAAAAACAAGTAGCTCTGTGGTACCTTAGAAACTAACAAAATATATATAGTATAATGAGCTTTCATGGGCAACACCGCTTCTTCAGATGAGCTTGTGACCCAAAAACTGACCAGTAATAAAACAGTCCTAATTTGTTAAGAGACTAGTCTCAGGATGCTAAATATTTATTGTAATTAATAGAAACCTTCATTGTTGAGCACTTTTTTAAATTACCATTTTCTGTGGGAGAGGGATGCCTCCACAAATTTAAGTAGAAGGTCTGCAGCTATAGTTAACTAAAATGATCACAAAAGGACTGGGGACTCCATCCAGCTCCTTCCATCTTAGACCACTCCATTTTCACCTTTCTATGCCATTTCTCTAATTGTCTTCTGTCCGCTTGAACTTTCATTGCAGCCAGTGGCTCTCAATCTTTCCAATCTACTGTATCCCTTTAGGGAATCTGATTTGTCTTGCATACCCTACATCCGGGCTACTTAACACGCGGCCCGTTTGTTTGCAGCCCGCGGTGTGGTTTGGGCTTATGCGGGGCCTAACATGCAACTCATGGGTGGGATCCTTTAAACATGGCCTCCACTGGGAACACACTCCACAATGACGAAGCGTCTCCCAGGCAGGGTGAACACTGACAGACTCAAGCAAACGGGCTGGCTGGAACAGATGGATACAGGGTATTTGTAGCCCTCAGGGAGGAGGTGCCAGGAGTGCTGGGGCATTGTGGGAAGTGCCAGCTGCTTAGCCTTGTGGGCAGAGTCTGAGAGGTGCTGACTTGCTCACACTGGCCATGTTTGCGTCCGGCACCACGGCCAGGTAGCCCTGCCTCCGTCCTGCATGGAGCAACAACTCCCACATGCGGACCCAGGACGCGGCTCCCGGGCACATTTCCTTTTTTGCCTCTCGTGTCCGGCCTTTATTGCCCAGCTCCCGCCTGCTGCAGGTTGGAGTGCTCTGGCTTGGAAACTTTTCTTTTTACAGTAAAATCCCTCCAAGAAATGCACAATCTGAAGCTTCAAGCTAAACACCCAAGACACTGGTATACAATTTTATTTTTAATAAGAAGTAGTTTTTGATTAATTTGTTAAAATTGTGAGGCCAAAACAAAAAAGTAGTCAATAGAATGGCCTTCTGTTGATAAGCATTTTAGTAGTAAAATTCCTGGACTGTCATTGCTCATTAAAAGTGCTGCCATATGGGTGGAAATTGGATAAATATTGCATTTTATTGATATCAACAGAACTGACTTAAATGTGGCCTGCGTGTTGTATAATCTTGCCTTAATCTTTGTATTCATGCCCGTCAGTGTGAAATAAGCTATTTGCATATATTTGTGTATATACTTGCACATATATGCAACCACACTTAAGTTGCGGCCCTTGGCGTACATTTTACCTAACTAGAAACTACTTGATTACAAAATCAGACATAAAGATAGAAGATGTTACAGTACACTATTACTGAAAAAATACGTATTTTCTTGTTTTGTCTGTATGAAATTTTAGTTTGTACAGACTATACTGGTGCTTTTTATGTAGCCTGAAGTAAAATGAGGCAAATATCTTGATGAGTTGATGTAGCCCCTGGAAGACCTCTTTGCACCCCTCAGAGATACATGTGACTCTGGTTGAGAAACACTGAGGCTATGTCTACACTGCAACACTATTTCGGGATACTGGAGAATCCCAAAATAGCTATCCTGCATCCAGAGCCGGCCCAAGCTACAGGCTGACTGGGCTACCGCTCGGGGCGCCCCATTGTAGGGGGTGCCACGTGGGGCTGCTGGGCTGGGCGGGGGCGGCACCGCACATACCCCATGCGCCTGGGGTGGTGCCACGCATGCGCCAGGTGCCCAGGGGTGGGGCCACGCATGAATCGCACTCCTGGGGGCGGCGCCACACTCCCAGGGCCCGGGGCGCACAAATGGCTTGGGTCGGCCCTGCCCACATCTTCACAGCAAGTCCGTTACTTTGAAATATAACTGGCTCACTATTCCAATGTCCCTGTAAACCTCATTCCACAAGGAGTAAGGAACATTTTTGAACAGTGGGTTATTTCAAAATCTGGTGCTTTGTAGACAGCGACAAATTACGAAATAAGCTATTTTGAGATAAGATCAAATAAGATACGCAAATTGTATCTTATTTCGAACTATGGTGCAGTGTAGACGCATCTGACTTAGTCTGTGATTACCTGCTGATGACATCTACTTTTAAAACTCCAGATTCTCACTCCACTCTATTGTTCAAGAAGCCAGAAGATGGACCCAGAGAGCAAGTTTGTAAGCAAAATGATAGCAGTAGTAGGTGGGGAATTTCTCTCTGCTATAACTCTGGATTGCCAAACAGGATTGCAGATGAGGAATATCTTTGATTGGATATTTTAGTCAGCAAAGATCTTAGTTTTATTTTAAATTTTGCTGTATTAGTTAGTAAACAGAAAAGTCCCTCCGTGGTCTTTCCTTTTTGATGTACTTCTGTTTACTCCTTTTCACTCTAGTGGGAATGAAATGAACTTGATTGTTGATGACAGTACTGTTTCTGGATTCACATATTTGATGATGTCAGCACAACTCAGGGAATCAATGGTGGCCTTAAGGTCAAGATGGTTACAAGTAGTTGAGCCAATCTCCTAGTACACACATCAGGACAGTATATCAGAAAACCTTTGATTACCTCTCCCATCTTGTCTCTCATTGATTAACACAAGTTATACTGACGTGATAAAAAGGATTAATTTTTCAGAGGCAATCTGTACTATATGGACGATTTTTTCATGGGATTTTGAATAGTAAGGACCAATGAAGAAATTATTTCTCTATCTTTCTCTCTCCCTCTCTCTCTCTGTTCCTTCCAAGAATATCATGCTAACTGGGCTTCCTGCTATTTCATAATTTACATTAACAACAACAAAACCCTTGGATAAAACTACAGTTTCATTTCTCTCCATTTGTGCTTTCGGAGATCAGCTGCAAAAAGAATACTGAAGTTTCAGTGCTTGCAAAGAGAGGCATACATTTTTTCCAAGTGCACATGCTTTTTAGGAATATGCACATGAAATATTAAGCAAATATGCCACCAGTGGTGCTCAGATTTAGATCCAATATTTCTCCCCACCCTTCTGCTTATGAGATAGAGGCACACTAGTCATAAGGAAACTGCTGTCTGGTGGTAACTATGGATGAACCTACATCTGGCCCTGCAATGGGGCTGGACAGCTGCCCAGCGGCCCAGATGATTTAAAGGGGCCCCTGGCAGTACAGCAGAACTCAGGCAGGCTTCCGGGAATTGTGGTCAATTGAAGTTGCGTGAATGGTGCCTGTGGACAACAGCACACAGAAAGCCCCTACCTAGCAACCACTGTGAGAGGAGTGTGCCAGTCACTTTTGGGAGCTGCCTGACGTAAGTGCTGACCCCCTAATCCTCTCCTGCACCTCACATGTCCTCCTGCATCCTAACCCCTGTCCCAGCCTATTGAAAGTGAGTGAAGGTGGAAGAGAGAGTGTGACAGAGGGAGAAGGGATAGAGTGATCTGGGGAGGAGCCTTGGTGAAGGGATTGCACAAGGATGTGGCCCCAGGGAAGAGGCAAGACAAGGGCCTTTGGGTTTGCGCAATTAGACAGCTCAGAAGTGGAAGCTCTAGCCATGTCAGAAAAGTACGCCCGGCAGCACAGTTGGCAGCTTGCTGGGGACCAGCCAGCACTGGTGCAGCACTGCCCAAATGTCAGGTGGACCACCTCTGCATGGGTGCGATTTGTGCAACCAGGATGGCCCATTGACTGTTCTGCTCTGATATGTTACACAGATTTACAGCCACAGTTGTGTCTTAAGTCTGAAAAACACTTTGGTAGTAAAGAACTGTGGCTAAGACAAGTTTGTGTGATGCAGAAAAGTAATAATACACAAATAATTTTAATATAAATGTCCATTTAATATGGACTGACAGTTTAGAGAGCTATCAAACCAATTTTTTTTTAAATCTGCTAATCATTATTTCAAACTTACACTTTCAAGCATAAAATAAGAAAGGAAAAATTAATACAAACACAGAGTCCCTGGAAATATCTCCCTCTAGTCTTTGTCCTCCCTGTTCCTTACAGAAGTGCATATTACTCTACAAACACTTGCAGATTTGCACAAAAAATATCTCAGCAAGCATCTCATACCTGTTAAATTAGCTAATAGCACTAGAAAAGAGTAACATCTTTTACCTTTGGCACCTCTCTGAAGAAAAGGGACATGTCTATCTAGTTTCCCTATTGGTTGCTACAACAAGCTACAGTTTGTCAGCTTTGAGGAAAAACGATGCCAAAGGTAAAAGGTCTCAAGATTTCTTTTACTCATGTAAAATGTAGGCCCAGTTTAAACCAGACAACCCAGGCCCCACTTTAGGAATGCATCACTATTCATAAAGAGTGCTAAAGTACATTCTTAAAGTATGTGCATAAGTGCTTTCCTGCATTGGGAAACCAATCCTGACAAACTATGAGAAATATTAGACAACCCCAGCTGTTGTTACGGGCGATAACTTTTGATCCTAATTGATGTGAGACGCCGTATAAAATTAAAAGGCCTCTTCAGCAGCTTCCAAACTCAGTAGGCTGCTGTGTATAATCTTCAAGATCATTTATTCAGAAAGTTCATTGTTTGTGGTTGGAGAACAGTAACACTTTATCATTCTTTTGCCATTATTGCATATTGTTACCAATATTTTTGCAAGTGTGTATGGGCAGAATTTGGGTTCTGCAGCTTTCTCCTCTCCTATTTATCCTCTCTTCTTGCCTTATTATCCTCCTGACCTACTTTGATGCTCAGACCCTAACTGGGGAAACACTTTTCTTTTTTGTGCAATTTTCAGAGGAATTCGCCTTTTAACGGGAGAGCCAACTTGCCAACAAGCCCCAGGCATTAGGAACGGGCCTGACAATTTTGAACGAGTCCGGTGAGAACCTCTATAAAGTGCTACCAGGTCAGTTGGTTGCTTTTTTCTGTACAGACTAACCCGGCTGCCCCCTGAAGCTCCTGCTAATGGGTTATGCGTTACAAACAGCTAGTTCGTGTGAGTGACGCTGGTGGTTGCGGTGTCAGAAGAACCCCCGAGCTCTCTGCTCCCCGCGCGGGGCGCGCCAATGGAGGGGGGGGGCGGCAACACCCCCACGCCCAAGGCAGCTGCTGCGGCGCTGGAACAGCGGCTCCACCCAGCCCCAGAGGCGGAGACAAGGGGCGCGGCGGCCGTGGAACATGCCCTGGGCTCCCCTCTCCCGCACATCCGGATGGTTCAGCCCCGCGCCGCCCGGGAGCCGCGGCTGGCAGACTGCGGGCATAGCGGCACCTTTACTGCCCCATCTCACTGCGCAGCCGCAAAAAAAGCCGTCGGGACACGCAGAGGTGCCGGCCACCTCGACCGTCCTGCGCAGGCGCCCAAGACAACCCGCTTGCTCTCCCAGCCCCTCTCCCCCGTTCCCGACTTGTGAGCATGCGCAGCGGCCTTGCCGGCTTGCTGCGCGGAGGGAGGGGGCGGGGCTCTGGGAAGTGCCGCTGGCACATTGGCCCGGCGGGGCGGGGCTGG